TCTCTTTTTTCTTCTCTTTCTCTTCTTTTTTTCTCCTTCTTTTCCTCTTCTGGTTACTCACTAATATAATAATATCCCTTGTTTGGCGTCTGTAAAGTCTCGATTTTGAAAGAGATTTCATAATTCGATGTTTGAAAGTTTGCTTTTTGAATTATTGAAAGATTGATTTGAGTTATCTGAAGGTTTATATTTATTTTTATTTTTATTTTTTTTGAAATTTTACTTTGAAGTACTTGAAGTTTTTATTTTGATTTTTTTTTTAAATTTTACTTTGGAGTACTTGAAGTTTTATTTTGATTAAAAAAATATATATATATATTTTGAAGTACTTGAATCTGATGGTGAGTTAGTTGAGTTAGTGAAAATAAGATCAATTGAAAGTAATGAATATGCAATAAACAAAAAGCATATTCTCTATAGGACGTCATGTAATCGATCCATTAAATAAAGTTCGTGAAGAGGAGAGAAAAAAAAAGATAAAAAAAAGGTGCTATAAAACCATCAACCCTCAACTTTGCCTTTATTTCGTCACGCACGCTGCCCCTTCCCCCCTTTTCCCTCTGCCCTCCCTTTTACCTCCCCCCCCCCTCTTCTTCCCTCTCACTCTCGTCTTCTAACTCCCATGGACTTTTCCCTGTTCTTTCTCCTTCTTCCCTCTTTCTCCATTCTTTCTCTCTTTCCCCTCTTTATCTTCACCTTCTCATCCTATCTTCTTTCTCTTATCACTTTTCCTTTCACCTCACTATTACCCCTTATCCCTTGTTTCTCTCTGTCCCCTTTCTTCTTCTTTCCCCTCTCTGTTGCCTGTCCTCCTCTCTCTCCGTTTCTCTCCGCCTCTTTCCCTCTTCCTCTCCCTCTCTTCATCCTCTTTTTTACCTATCCTCTTATCTCGTTTTTCCTCTTTCTCTCTATTCCCTTTCTTCTCCCTCTCTTTCCCCACCCTATCGCTTTTCCTCCTCCTCCCCTCTTTTCCCCCCTCCTCCCCTCTTCCCCCCCTCCTCCCCTCTCTTCCCCCTCCTCCCCTCTTTTGTACCATAAAGTCTCGTACCCATTCACCAGTCTCCGTCGCCCCCCCCTCTCCCCCCCTCTCTCGGACCCATTCACCTCTCTCCATCCCCCTCCCCCTCCCTACCCCCCTTATTCCTTCTCCCCTCTCTTACCCCTCCTTCATTCGTACCCTCTCACGTCTCCCCTCTCTCTCGTTCCCTCTCCCCTTCCCTCTCTTCCCTTCTTTCCCTCTCTCCCTCCCTATCTCTCCTATCACCATTCTTCCTCCTCCCCTCTCTCTCTCTCCCCTCTCTCTCTCTCTATCACCCTTCCTCCTCCTCCTGCCTTCTCTCTCTCCCCTCTCTCTCTCTCTATCACCCTTCCTCCTCCTCCTGCCTTCTCTCTCTCCCCTCTCTCTCTCTCTATCACCCTTCCTCTCCTCCTGCCTTCTCTCTCTCCCCTCTCTCTCTCTCTATCACCTTTTCTCCTCATCCTGCCTTCTCTCTCTCCCCTCTCCCCTCTCTCTCTCTCTATCACCCTTCCTCTCCTCCTGCCTTCTCTCTCTCTCCTCTCTCTCTCTCCCCTCTCTCTCTCTATATATCACCTTTTCTCCTCATCCTGCCTTCTCTCCTCCCCTCTCTCTCTCTCTATCACCCTTCCTCCTCCTGCCTTCTCTCTCTCTCTCCCCTCTCTCTCTCTATATATCACCTTTTCTCCTCATCCTGCCTCTCTCTCTCTCCCCTCTCTCTCTCTCTCTATCACCTTCTCCTCCTCCTGCCTTCTCTCCCCTCTCTCTCTCTATCACCCTTTCCTCCTCCTCCTGCCTTCTCTCTCTCCCCTCTCCTCTCTCTCTATCACCCTTCCTCCTCCTCCTGCCTTCTCTCTCTCCCCTCTCTCTCTCTCCCCTCTCTCTCTCTCCCCTCTCTCCCCTCCTCCTTTCTTCCTTTGATGTTCTAATCACTCAAGACGTTTTATGGCCTGGGTCGTTGGCCGGCGAGGAGACTCTTGGCTGTCGTGAATATTTGACTCTTGAGGGGAGGTGGGGGAAGGGGAAAAGGGAAGGGAAAGGGAGGGGGGGGGGAGAGGGAAGGGGAAAGGGGAAGGGGTAAAGGGGGAGGGGAAGGGAGGGGGATAGGAAGAGGGGAAGGGGGAAAGGAGAAGTAGAAGGGAGGGGGATAGTAGAGGGGAAAGGAAGGGGAGGGGGGAAAGGGAGGGGAAGGGATGGGGGGAAGGGGGAAGGGAGGAGGATAGGAAGAGGGGATGGGAGGTGGAGAAGGGAAAGGGAGGGGAAGGGGAAAGGAAGGGGTAAGGGGAGGGGGAAAGGGAGAGGGAAATGGGGTGAGTGAAAGGTAGGGAGAGGGGAGAAGGGAAGGGGGAAAGGGAAGAGGAAGGGAGGGAAAGAGGGAGGAAGGTTGAAAAAGGAAGAGAGGAAAGGTAAGGTGGAGATAGGAGGGAAAAGGATATAGGGAAAACGGGTGGGGGAAAGAGAGGGAAAAGAAGAGGCAGAGCGGGG